AACAAAATGCGTCAAGTGTGTGTTAACCCCGTCCTGGCAAAAACGAGGCACTCAGCGCGTTGCCTGCTCAGCTGATTGCTGCAGCGAATTGTTGAGTGATATGGAAGTGAAATCCGCTGCAGCAAAGACCAGCCACAGCTGGTAGCCATCCAGTGAGTCAGTAGGGGGAATGGGGCATGCAGAATTGAGCATCAGGGTATCGGGGTATCGGGGTTGCTTATGTGAAAATAATCGCAAGCCTGCGCATAAATAATGGACTCAAATGTCAAAGGGGCATATCATCAATTTGTTTTTTGGCGGCCTACCCCACAACAAAAATCCCCCAACACACACGCGCATACACACACACACACACACACACACACACGGATTTATATGCAAGCCTTCCTTTACCCATGCATATTTATTTTAAAAATAAAACTGAAAACTGAACAATGGGCTGGCATTGAAGAAGTAGCCAGTTCCAGAGATTTTTTCCAAACAAATTCGCTGAGTGCTTAAGTGCTTCCGAAAGTGAAACAAATCTGTGACATGTGTTTCAGTTTCTCTGCACCAGCACACGCTCTCTCTCTCACTCTCTCTCACCCATTCCCACTTCTTTCTCACTCACTCTCTCTCCCTATAGTAAATTTGCCTAAAGTGCCTCTGCTACGCCAGAAAAGCGGAAACTGCAGCTTCCAAAATTGTAGCTGAAATGAAAAGAAAAATGTGCCAGCAGCTCCCCCGCGTGTCACCAACCCCCATACACCTTATACAACTTTGTTGCATTTTAATTCGGGGTTTTCTTTCTCTTTCCTTATTTTTGTGTGCTTTTCTCGCGTCTTCTGCATTGCGTTTGCCTTTTTTAAGCGGATTTTGAATGCCACTTCCGAAAAAATACCAAAATTGGCTAAGAAATATTGTCGCAGCCAGAGACAACACAACAGCTACAAAAGCTGTAACCAGAGATGCGTGGGGTCCCGGCGGGGGGAAAACACTCTGTGTGATTTTGGCTGGGCGCCTAATTTATGTGAGCTGCTTAGGGAGTGAATTCACAGAATGATATGTGAAGCGCCAACGAGTTGAATGGAAAAAATTAACCAGACTAAAAGTTTTTATACAGATAGATAGAGATTTTATACACAAAAGTTAACTAGATATAACTGGTATATTATATCTGGAAGCTACTTCTCAAGAGTCCGCAACAGCCAACATTTGAAATAGGTAACAAAATCAATTTTCAGAATAGAAAATATATATTATGAATACAATACTCAAATAATATTTGTATACCATTTTTTTTATTCATGTCTCAAAAAATGTAAATATGTTTAAGAGATGAACCTAACGCTCTAAATGCTTAACATACAATTTCTGAATTATTTTATTTTATTTTTTTCAAACATTTCACATTTCTATTTTTTTTTTTTTTTTTTTTTTTTTTTTTTATTTTGCGCTGGAATCGATGAGTGTCTTCTCATCTCTCAAGCGGAGTTAAGGGTATATAGTATAGTTATTATTTAATAACTTAAATGATAATTACAAACTTAAAAATATATAACAATAATGGGAAAGGGATGTTTAAGTGATGCGTCTCGTTGGTAGGTCGTCTTGGTGTAGCCTTCGGAGGCGCCTCTCACCGATGGGCTCAGCCAGGGCCCTTGCGGCCGCGTTCGGATGCTGCACCAATTTGTCGGAGTATCGGCTGCTGAAGAAGTTGAGCTGATCTCCGACCTTTGTTAGGCGGAGATCGCGTTCGATGGCGTCTGTTGTTACGTACCATGGCAGGCCAGCCACCTTGCGTGCTGCCTTGGCTTGGACCACTCTTATGCGACGAAGCTGGTGTGCTGATGCCGTGCCCCAAACTTGGATCGCATATGTCCAGATAGGCGTTACCATCGTTTTGATAAGCAGTGTCTTCGTGGATATGTGCAGCTTGCTTTGAGGCTTTAGTAGCCAATCGAGCTTTTGAAGCCTTCTCAGGCATTTTGCTCTCGTTGCTGCGATGTGAGGCCCCATATGAGCCTTCGATCCAGGTGGACACCCAAGTAGCAGAAAGAGTTGGTCTGCTCAATGGTTCCTCCATCGAACCGTGACGCAGGCGGACTTGGCACAGTTTATAGCGATGTTCCACATAGCTGTCCAGGTTTCGATCTGCAGCAGCCAGTCCTGCACTGCACTTGTAGCAGCTTGCAGATTTTTGTGGGAGGCTAGGAAGGCAGTGTCGTCCGCATATGTTGCCACCAGCAGTCTCGCAGGGCTGAGGTCTTCATTGCTTTGTCCTTGTGTGGGCAGGTCCGCCGTATACAGCGTGTACAGCATCGGACCGAGGACGCTGCCTTGTGGGACACCTGCTTTGATGCCCTTAATTGCCGACCTTTGGTCTTTAACGGCCACATTAAAGGTGCGTCCTGCCAGAAAGGAGCTAAGGATGCTGAAGTATGGCGCTGGGAGTATCTGTTTGATCTTGAACAGAAGACCATCGTGCCAGACCTTGTCAAACGCTTGTTTGACATCGAGGAAAACGCCGACGCAGTATTGCTTCTGCTCAAAAGCTTCTAGAACATGTTTTACTGCCCGGTGGACCTGCTCGGGGCAGCCGTGAGACTTTCTGAAGCCAAACTGATGATCCGGGACCAGGCGCGTGACCTCGTCGAGTTCTAAGAGACGGCTTAGCAGAAGTCGCTCAAAGACTTTTGAGAGCGTCGGCAGAAGGCTTATAGGGCGGTAGGACTCAAGTTGAGTTAGCGGCTTGCCGGGTTTGGCGATCATCAAAATTTTCGCATGTTTCCATTGCTTCGGAAAGTGGCCAAGGCGGAGCATGGAGTTGAAAATTATGGCGAGCGCCATGACTCCTTTGCGTGGGAGAGTCTTAGCTGCTCTGTTGTCGATTTCATCGCATCCTGGGGTCTTCTTTAGCTCAAGCATTTTCAGCTGTGTCCCGATTTCCGCGGGGGAGATTCTTCTTATCGGGAGAGCCATCTGCAGTGGAGCGTCCAGTGACTCGGCTACTTTACGGCGCTGTGCAACGTCTGCGAAGTCGAATGGCTTGAAGGTTGTCTCCAAGTAGTCAGCAAACGCATTGGCCTTTTCCTCGTCCGATCGGAGCCAGAGGCCAGAGTGATCCGTGATCGGGGAGGTAAAAACTGTTTGCCTCTTAATGCTTCTGGTGAGCTTCCAGACTGAAAAGGTGCTGTTGCCGTCATGCCCAGTTGCTTCGAGGAAGCTGTCTAGATTTTCCGCTCGAGTCCTAGCCAGCAGCCGTCTGAGCCGGTTGGACGCGCTTACCATTTCTGCCTTGGTGGAGAGGTCTCCGTTGCGGATGTACAGCCTCCTTAGACGTCTTTTGTCGGCAAGGAGACTCCTGGCTTCAGGGGTTAGTAGGGACCTTCTGATGCTGCACGTCCATTTCTATTTAGCTGAACATCATAACTTGATCACCTTAACCTTTTAAAATTTCTAAATATTTGTTATATTAATTTGAATATCACGAATATTTATTGCCATAGTTTGTTAGTTTGTCATAGAACCAAGTTTAAATAACGTTAAGCTTTATCACTGTCAATATATTTATTTAGCCTGCCATTAGTCTGTAAATATATTAACTCATCTGCGCTCTGTTGCTGTCCATACCCTTGCCCACATTGTTCAGCTAGTCCTTAATACCAGCACAATGCCGCTATTCGAAAATCTTTAGAGACAACTAGTGGTAAAAATGGGGGGCACATAAAAAAAAGAGAAAAAAAGGCCAAGGCAAACAAAAAGAAAAGTGGAAACTGCTGCAATAACAAACAAGGCCAAACATATACACTGAGCGCACAAAGTCCTGGCCATACAAATGAAGAGCGAGATGGCTTAATGCCACAAATTGAGCAATTCTTGGCATATGTATATCTATGCTGCCTGCTCCCTGCCTTATTTTCCTCAACCCCTGTCTACTAATGCAGCTATTTGAAAACTAATGAGTGGCATGGAATAAAATGGGCAGCAGCAACAACAACAAACAAATGACACAAAAAAAGAAAAGCAGGCGGTAGTCAGAAATCCGCTTACAGCGATGAGTTCGCTGCAACGGACCGAGTTGCGACATGGAAGAGCGACGCGGCTGATGACGAGCAGCAGCAGGAGCAGCACAGAAGAAGGAGCAGCAGGCGAGTGCAAATGAATGCGCATTTGAAATTAAGCCCTAATCCTTTTACAATTGATGCTGTGCAGTCAGCCAGATACCTGTGTGTGCCACACATGCGCGAGAGTGTGTGTGCGCTTGTTGTCCTTGCAAGGACAACACTGCAACTGACAAACCGATTGTTGTTCATATTGTTGTTGGTTGTTTTGGTCCAAAGCAATATGTTTGTCTTTGCCCGGGGGCTTAGCCGATGCAACGTGTACTGCCAACTATGTGTGAGGGCATATGGAATTTTTATTTTTGTGTTCATGTCCTTGATGACCTACCGCGAGACTCAGCAAGGCACAAAATAATAGACTCCAGCGCATCAAAGGGCACAATTTTTATTATCATAAGAGTTTCTAGTCGGGAGCTCCCAACTAGGGGATACCCTGAACCCTCTTATCGATTATCGGAAACAAACTCGATCTGCGCAGGCACTAGGAGCACCTACATCTAAAATTTCTCTAGCTCTTATAGGTTCTGAGATCCTTGCGTTCAAACATACGGACGGACGGACGGACAGACAGACGGACATGGCTAGATCGACTCGGCTATTGATGCTGATCAAGAATATATATACTTTATGGGGTCGGAGATGCTTCCTTCTGCCTGTTACATACATTTGGATTTTGCACAAATACAATATACCCTTATACCCATTTTTAATGGGTACAGGTTAAAAAACAGAAAACATTTGAACAAACACAGCACACGACTAGTTGATAACTTGCTTTCCTATAAAGTTACCGAATAGCCGGATGGACCACTTAATGAAGAGACTTTTGGCTTCATTAAGCCAGAGATGGCTGTTCTCAATTTGTCTAGTCTATTTAAACATATCAAATATTAGAAAGAAATAAATCAACACGTTATAAAATTTATATTCTAATAAGGGCATGGGCTGGGTAAAGCAATGGTTGGCGGGTCTGGCGGCCTGCTTTAGCGGGTTTGTTTTGGGGGCATCCATTGGATGGTCGGGACCGATGGAGAAACCGATTCTTAGCGGTGAAGCATACAGTTTTTCGCCGAGCATCGATGATTGGAGTTGGGTCTGCGCGATGTTTACACTAGGTGCCGCCTGCATGTGCATACCCACGGGCTTACTGGTTCGCGCATTTGGCAGGAAGCTGATCATGCTGATCATGTTGATTCCAGGTCTACTTGGCTGGGCTCTGATCATTGCGGCACGGCATACAGCCATGCTGTACACCGGACGCTTCACACTTGGCGCATGCGCCGGTGCCTATTGCGTGGTGTCGCCCATGTACACCACGGAGATTGCCGAAGTGAAAGTGCGCGGAATTATGGGCTGTTTCTTTCAGCTGATGCTCGTGCATGGCATTCTGTTTTCATTCATTATTGGCGCTTTTCTGAAACCGCTGCTTGTCAACATTGTGATCGGTGCACAGCCCATTATATGGTTTATATTCATCATTTGGTTGCCCGAATCGCCGGTGTATCTGGTGCAGAAGGGCAAGCCCGAACGAGCAATGAGTGGTTTGAAAACCCTCCGTAAAACCGATGCAGACATAAGCAGCGAAATGGCCGCGTTCGAGGCGGAAAACAAAAAGGAGAAGGTCATGGTCAAGGACGCAATGGTACGTAAGAGCACCCTACGAGGACTGATCATAGCAGCGCTGCTGATGATGCTCCAACAATTCACGGGCATCAATGGCATTGTATTTTATGTGACGGGCATATTTGAAAAAGCCGGCACCGGCCTGTCCCCGTCCACTTGCACCATTATAACGGGCTGTGTGCAACTTATTATGACATTTGTTGCCACTTTAATTATTGATCGAGTGGGACGCAAAGTGTTGCTGCTTATCTCTGCATTCCTGATGCTAATTGCCAACCTAACAATGGGCTTCTATTTCAAATATTTAACAGATAAAAATATTGGCTGGCTGTCGATAATGGCGATTGGTTTATTCTTCGTTGGATTTGCTGTGGGCTTCGGGCCCATCTGCTGGCTAGTTATGGCCGAGCTCTTTGCGGAGGATGTGAAACCCATTTGTGCGTCCATTGTCGGCACCAGTGGCTGGGTATTTGCATTTGTTGTGGCAAAGCTGTTTCCCATATTGGTGAAAGAGTTCGGCTCGGCAGTAGCATTTTGGGTATTTGCTTTCTTCTCCATAGTGGCATGTATATTCGTTATATTTTTTGTGCCAGAGACGAAGGGCAAGACTTTGGACGAAATTCAAGGAATGCTGTCTTAATTTCTTAATTCAAATCTGAATTAACTAATTATTAGCATATATATATATATACATATATATATATATATATATATATATGTATGTATATATATATATATATATATATATATAAATTTTATAATATATATAATTGTATTCGTATAAATAATATAAATATATATTTATACTGGTCTTTAATCAACTTCAACTTTTTTCACCTGACTACCACCAGTACAAAATATGTGTCCCAAGTTCGAAAACACCTTTAGTGTTTAAAATAAAAAATATCGAAACATTGACTATTGCCGAGGCTATTTTTAACGATCTTAACTCGATGTAAATTAGTCAATCTTTGCAAAAACTTCGCTCTTTCGAACATCTAACCATGTCATCATATGTTATAATAGACCAAACAAATTTTCAACACCTCTCAGGAAGAATTTGTAATCTTCTGGAAACAGTACAAACGCATTTCGACGGCTTTGAAATATTACAAATTATTTAAAAGTAAATGAAATGTAAAATGAATGTATAAATTTAGCCAAGTAAGATGTTTGGAGTTTTTATGACTTCGGCTTAGTACATTTTTTTTAATAAATTGGAATCAATTTATTAGAAAAAAAAAAACGATTATATATATTTTTACTGATTTGCTTTGCTAAGAATTGGCCAGAAATTTTGCTTTAACGTAAAAGGAAGTGTTTATATAGAGGCCATATATACATATTTATCGATGTCGATGTACTGATAGAGCCAGACATCTATATATTCCTTGACTATACTTTTATCCTATGTTCAAAATCAATGTTTATTTCGGATTTTCATCGCTTTTTATTACACATTTAATTATTTATCTTACCATATTTCAAGCATACAAATCGGGCAACCCTGACATCCCTGACGTAGTTGCCACACATCCTCTGGTAACACTTCCTACCCCCTAATATACAAAATTACATGTGTTATAGCTCTCGCTACACCTCATCAGTGTCCACAAAATCAAATGACGCACAGCTGCCCAGACATCGGAGTGGGCGGGGGACAGCAGCAACAACTAGTACTTAGTAGCAATTGAAAATCGAAAAGCGTTGCGAAATGGGAAAATGTGAATTTGTATTTAGTACAAAAGTTAACACATTGTACAAAATCAAATAAGAAATTCGTTACAGACAAACGCATGCAACGATCCGCAACGCGTTGCGACGCACTTAATTTCAAACAGGATTTACGAGGTTGACAGACATTCAACGTGCCACTGCAAGCAGCAAGCGGCAAGCGGTGGCAGGGCACACGAGTCTTAGTCTGTTGCTGTCCCGTTTTGCTCTCTTATTGCCTCTGTCTGTTGCGCCTGCGCAGCGGAAACTGTGAAAAGAGCCAAATCGCTTGTGACGAAACGAAATTTTCAACGCTCGACTGAACCGGAAGAGATGCAAAAGTGCTAATGAAATGTCCTTTGAGCTCAGCACAAGAAACCAAATCGAGGCCTGCTCCTGCTTAGGCAGCTGCCTGCCTGTTCAGGCTCTTATTTGCTTGTGTGGCATGGCGAATGGCTTAAGGAGAGCTGGCGAAAATTGCTCGCTCCATTGGTTTTTGTTGTATAGAGAGCGAGAGACAAAGAGAGAAGGCAGAGTTAGCATGCCCATAATTTTGTTGCATGCAATGTGTGGCAATTTGCTGGCCCGGCCTTCCATTTCAAGTACAATCTCTGGCATTAATATTCAATTTTCTGAGTGTACTTAGTGCAGCTTAGATGCCATTCGACTGCATCTGCCCCAATTAGTTGCAATTGTTGCAATTCGCCACGGGCTCAAGTGCCCGGCTCAATCCAAATGCAGAAGCAACAGCAATAACAGCCAGCAGCATCTGCTTCATGTTGTGGCTATTAGCTCAATTATACGAATACTCAAATGTTGCAACAACCATTCATGAAACATGCTAAATTAGTTACATAAGTGCTGCGCTGCACATCAGACTGCATACAAGAGTAAATCGCATATGCAATTCTATCAGTTTTAAAAATTATCTCTAGCCAATAAGCTCACAAAATCTATAAGATATTTCATTTGATAATTGGGAAGGGGCTAAGAATAGCTGCAAATGTAAAAATGTAGGTATATATATATATATATTGGCTTCTTATTGGCGTATAGTTTTTTAAATCGGCCACATAACCCTAAGAAATGGCAAGAACAAAATTTTAAATATTGTTTCTTTACAAAAAGCCGTTCATACGAAATATGTTTAACAATCGGTTTTAGTCCCGACTAGAGGATACCCTGAACATCAAATGCATATATATATTCTATTTTAGAAGCTATATGTCAAGTTTGGTGACTCTAGCTCTTATTATTTGCCAAAATTGCCCAAAAACAGGATATCGATATCGATTTTTATCGATTGTTTGGAAACGAAGTAAATTATCGATTATCAGAAACAATCTCGATCTGCGGGAACTAGGAGCACCTACATCTAAAATTTCAAGTCTCTAGCTCTTATAGGTTCTGAGATCCTTGCGTTCATACATACGGACGGACAGACGGACGAACAGACAGACGGACATGGCTAGATCGACTTGGCTATTGATGCTGATCAAGAATATATATATTTTATGGGGTCGGAGATGCTTCTTTCTGCCTGCTACATACATTTGGATTTCGCATAAATACAATATACCCTTATACCATATTTTAATGGGTTCAGGGTTTAAATACCGATTTAATCAAACACGCCTATTAAATATTGAATTTTTTGCCATAGTGTAACTATTATTATTAAAAATTTTTTATAATATACAAAGGACTTATATATTGTTGTAAGGATTTTTGAAGTAAAGTTTATCTTTAAGCCAGAAGATAGTTTGAAAGGCAAACCAAATCAAGTTGGACGTGGATGTATTAACAGATCTTGACTTTATAAAGAATTATTCAAGAGAATTCCATAGCATACATATGCATACCAACAGCTGTGAAGGGTTCGCTCTGCAGTGCTACTGCAGTGGACGTGGCAGCTGGGGAATATCCTGGAAAGGTGGTTTTGTTTTGTTTTGACAGAGCAGCTGGCTTGCACCTGAGAAAAACCGCAAGATGCGTAAACAACAGTTAGTTGTCTTTAATTGATGAACAAAAGCGCTGGAACAAGAGCTGGGACCAGCAGCAGCAGCAGAAGCCGTAGCAGCACAGCACGAGCCTGTCACATGACAGAGGGCACACGCTAGGGACTAGGCGGACCCTAAAGGCAATTTGACGCAGCTTGAAATTTGTTTTGGACCAAAATATTTGCAACGTATGAGCTGCAGATTGAGTTTGTTGCATGCCGCGTGCGAAATGCATTTCCATGAAGTAGCTCAGACAAAAGGATGCACAGCACCAGCACCAGCACCAGCAGCAGCAGCAACAGTTAAGGGGCTACCGAAACGGCAGCAGAAGCCTTGAAATTGCATTTTATGGCTGGACATTAAGAGGCAGCATGCAGTAGTCCAAGCTGATTGCAATGGCCAGCAGCAGCACCAGCAGCAGCCTCGAGCGTGCCAAATCGGCGGCCCAAGCAGTTGACATTTTCCAAGCTACTAACTAGGCATCACTGGCATCCCGTACCCTCCTACTGCACTCTTGCCCCTTATTGGCCCAGCGTGCGCATGCGTGGCTAATCGCGGTACGTGTGTCCAGTTTTAGTGCCAGGTATGCTGCACGCGCACAAAAGCGCCTTTGGTCACACCAAATTATGACAGGATGAGGGCAACTGTAGCTGCCTTGAGCAAGGGCATTTAGTACACCCACCTGGTAGCCCATTATCCTGTAACAACAAAAAGCGTGGCGAACACGCTGCCAGCTAGACAAATGTCACGTGTTTTATAAAAAAATCTAAAGTTTAACTCCACCCAGAGACTATTGTTAATCCGACTTTGCTAACGAGAGAGGGAGAGAGGGAAAAAAAAACCAGTTAGAGACTTTAGTCGGGAGTTCTCGGCTAGGGGATACCCTGAACCCCCTTCTACCAAAACTAAATGTATCTCGCGGTACGAGCTCGTTTGCTTTAGCAGTAAAGAATTAGTTACTTGCCACCTCAACAGTCTTTACTCTCCTCTTTTCGATCGACGTGCTCAACGGGGAAAGGCCTGCGCTCTTACATGAAATACGCCGGAATGGTCCAGAATAATATAATATAAATTACTGATCATTTTGTGGCGCACTCAAATGCAATTAATATTTGTCTTCTCTTTGCGACAGACCGACCCGAAACGTTACACTTGCAACCTTGAAATATTTAAGCAATTGATTTCTTTTTAAAAAAATGTTTTTCATATTTTCATTAAAGAAACTTGTTAATTAAGATATATAGATTAATTATATTAAAATGGGCGTATCATCATTTGGACACTTTTATGGAGTGACTCCGGCCATGCCCATGCTACCAGTAAATGCACCCAGTTATTTCTAACTCATTCGTGTCTTCGACGTTACAGTCGACCCTTCTACCATTTAGGTTGCTAAAACATTAATTGAAAATATTGAGCATTGAGCAAACAGTTACAACATAGTTTAATAATAATTGATTTACCTATCCGCGCAGTAAGAATACCACCAGCTACCTTTTACTCCAGAAACACAATTCCAGTTTTCATAATCATCATTATCGCTGTCGTAGGTTGAAAAATTACTTCCTTTGTGGGATTTCATGGAATCGCCGGCATTTCCACTACAATTGCCAATTGAAATCAACTTGTATCATATCTGGCAAAACGCGTTTCATTTTCCTGATCCACCAATTGAAAGTAAAGTTCGTATCTCTGTGCGCTCGTAATTCTGTGTAGCTTTTGAAGCCCAAACCAGAATTCTTCATTGACATTTCCGAAGCCATTCTAGTAATCCTCCCATGAGCGATAGAAGTTGACTTTTCCGTCAATGCGGCGTTGTATTACAGTCCACCCTGATCCCGCCAGATTCGAATCGCACGACCCGACAAACAGGGGCAAGCCTTCAACTTTTAATGCTAGAATTCCCGAATAGTTCTTACAATCAACA